TGTTCCAAAGCAATGCTTTTTTAAACCCAGCTTGTTTATATATATAAATATATATATATATATGTATAGATCTGTATGTCTGCACCTGTGTGGGCACATGCACACCCTGAACCTGAACTGTGGCTGGTCCTTGTCCCAAGGCATCATCTGAGGGAATGAGACAGGAGAGAGAAGGGAATGGGAAAAACCAGACAGGAAATACCTTCTGCCTGGACTTGAGGAATGGCTGAGGAGCATGCTGGTCTCCTCTTGGAACAGCACTGTCCCTTCTGATGGTATTTTACCAATACTGCTGTACATAGCACTTTTGGGATGAATTTTACTATTTCTGTATTGCACTGCCATGCAAAATTTTCAATGATATGTTTAAAAAAGAGAGATATTTAATTTTTTTAGATGGACATATTTAGAATTAAATAACAGCCTAAACAGAGTAATAATTTTCCCTCCCCACTTTTTTTTACTTCCTATTTTTAATGTTGTCGTGTCCCCCCCCAATTATGATGTCATTTATTATAGATGTACATTTTATCAGTAATGGAGAGCAATGTTTACTGAGATGCATTTAAAGAGAAACAGAGGTTTAATTTTATTTCAGGCTGCATAGAGTCCCTATTATTGAGAGGGTATTTTGCCTTTGTAATGATTCTTTTGCGTATATTGCAAAATCTAAAGATTTGTTTGTAAAACCACCCTTACACTACTAAAATAAACATATTTAACCTTCCAGCTGTTGACTCGGTAGCTGTAACAAAACACTGCGGTTTGTGATACACAAACACGGTTAATTTCACCTGCTGTGTTTGAAAACTTCCTTTGTGGCTGACATTTCATTTTCCTCTTTTTCAGAGCCGTAGCCAGTTCAGACCCAGCTCAGGTTTTCTCAGGTCCAGCAGAACACGTGCAAGTCTTGGCAGGGACTGACCTCCTGTTGTGTGAGCCTGGCTGGGAGGAGGGAAATTCCAGGGGAGCTCTGTAATTAGCAGCCAAACAGGGAGAATCCAGGGAGCCAAAGGATTCTCTCACAGCTGTGCCAGTAGCACTGGTGGCCCCGCTGCATCACTGAGGAGCTTTGAAGTCTGGCTGGAAATGCTGCAGCCAAGTTTTGCTCCTCACTTGTCTCATTCAGAGCTCACTTCTGTTCCTGTCACAGCAAAGTGCACAGTGCTGGCTGTTCCTCAGCTCACACTCCCCCTGGAAGGGCTGTCACTTCCCTGGGGGCTGAGAGTTCTTGGCTCTAATTTTAGTATCACTTGGCACTTCCAGCATTTAAACCCTGAGATATCACAAAGTAAGGTAACTTTGTGGTATCAATGATTTGGAAGAGGGCTGGAGGGGTTTAATTCTCTGACTAAACCTTTTCAGATGGTCCTCAGTATGTTTTGCTTAAAAATGTTCCCTCAGTTTTGCACCCTGGCTCAGATCTTCACTGCTTGTCCGCAGGATTTAGGTGAGAGGCCCTTGAAGTTTGTGCAGCACAGGTTTGGAAAGGTGCCCTGAGGTGACCCCACAGTATCACTGCAGTCCCTGAAGGAAAGGAGGTACATGTGCAGCAGAATGTGTGATCTGCCCAGACGAGCCTCACACTGTGTCTGAACACCAAGCAAATCTCATTAACATTCTCCAGACGAAAAAGTCACTCATGTAAAACT